GTTGAAAAAATAATTTCAGTATTCGAAGTCATAACAAACAATTATCATGGTTTTGTCACAGAACATAGTTTGTGTTAAAATTATTGCCATTGAATCGATATAGATTTACAGTTACTTATTGAGAAATATGAAAACTCTGTTTGAAAGAAAAACTCGAGGAAAAATCCGACTATTTGCTGAGGAAACATACATTGAGGAAATAATTTTTTGTTTGCAATACATGATTTGATTAGGTGAGGATTTCATTTCAATAACATATTCTATTGACTTATAACTGCCTCTGAATCTTTATCCTTTAATTTTTTATAATCTGGTCCAAAAATTTTCGATGCGCCTTCGCCATATAATGACCTGTTCCTCCGCCATAATGTTCACACCATTTCGTGTTCGCCAATTTAATTTCACAATGTACTCTTTCATGTTCATTTTTATTCTTCCAACATAAAGACACTCAGAATAAGTCGAAAACGTTTTCTACCGATATATTTGATAGATATCCGAAACTAGTTTCACATTGTCATTTCAACTTTCAATGGACTTAGAAATATACTAAGGAAAAAAAATATAACCCCTTCAATTCATACTAAGGAAATTATTCAACAGTGTATTAAGTTCTGACACATGCCACTCTACATTTTGGATACGGAAGTATAATTTTTACATCTACATGTTTCCTGGTATCATGTTTTGATTTTAATTTGTATGTATAATATTGTGTAGTCATCAGTTAAGGCAATGAAAATGAATGAATGAAATTTCTATAAATACCAAATTTCAGCTTCCTAGGACTTACTAGTACAGAGAAACAGAGATGAATGAGTGAATGTTAAGTGAGTAACTTCATCATTCAAAAGTTTTCATTTTATTATAGAAAATTTTGAAAATGTCACTCATTTTTTGATAATAATTATGATAATCGTCTTCATTATAATCAGAAACACATCAATTACAACAAAACTCAGCATCGGTAAAAGTTCAATTTTGTCCAGACTCAACCAAAACAATGTATATTCCAATTTATTTCAAAAATTTCACCGTGAATACACATAAATGATGATCATGTTGTTGTATACTTTGGGGTGAGCCATTATAGACGTAACAGATTATATAACTGAGAGATCATTTGAAATTTGAAATATTCACTTCGGAAGGGAGCTGGTGGTGGCATTCCTTCGAACCTTCCATTGACATTGTGGACATTTGTTCTATATTAAATTTCATTTGACAAGTAGGGTGGAGTTTAGAACACCGAATAACTTTGTTTTACGAACATGCTAAATGAAGGAGTCTCCTTTTATTCATGTTCAGCCAACCAACATACTTCGTTGTGAGATTTGTTTTTTTTTTTAATATCATATATGAACCCCATACAGGAATTTTGAAATATATTAATATTTTTCTGATATACTTTAGATGAATGCGGTCCAAATCAGTGTAATTGAATATAGACGGTACCAATGACTCTCAAATAATTGCTGTAAATAGTTTCAGCTTTTATTGATTGTTCTTGTCCAAAATTTGTATGGTACAAACCGAAAGAAGTTGTTCCAAAAAAATGAAAGAGCAAATAAGTTGTATTTTGAATGGAGAGATCAATTCAACATTTGCGAACCATCTTTCGACAGATGGGCAGAGTTCATTCATGATTATGACGTGTTGCATTTGGAAAAGTAAGGACCAAAACTCAAGCTTATTAGAATGCTTGGGAATTAATAAATGTAAAACTTCGGGATTTTTGCTCAATGATCAAATAGATTTGAATCGTTTTCCTATATTGAATTAAGTTTGTAACGGAGAAATTGGTAACTGAAACAGATTCCAGAAGTAGGTAAAATGAAGGCTCAGGTAAATATTGTAATGCTTATCTTCTAGGCTTGTTGTTCCTAGAGAGGAAAATAGTTCAGGTAATCAATTCATCACGTAGAAATTTGTCCGGTAGTAATAGTCATCATGATTCAAATTACGAATCATTACAATGAAATGCTCTGGAGCTGAAAATATTCCGAATTATGTTAGTGTATTTTCACAAGACTACACCTAACAATTTGAACTTCAAAAACTTACTCTGAAATATCACGTCATATTTCGCTATCACAGTAGCTTTGTCATAGTTAATAAAAGTTAATGAAAAGATCTTGTTTTCTAAACAACGGGGTGCAAGTTTTTTTGATATTTTCCCTTTCTAAAAATAAATATCGTAGGTAAAAACTACATGAGAAAATACTGTTGAATATAGCTCGAATATCATTTACTTTTCTCATAAAAAAATCTTGTTTTGTAGCCAGAAATGCATCATAAAATATCAAAAGCCAAATCATTGAATGTAGTATCTGAAAGAAATATCTCCTGCTTCACTCAATTATTGGAAGACGACGAAAATTATCAGGATAATATTGTCAAAAAATTAACGTTTCTCAAAGGCATACTACTCATAATCAGACAAGACTAAAAGACCGTCCCTTTAATGTTTTGTGGTCCTTGAAAAATTCCCCCATACTCTGCTTTGCTCAGATTTCATCTCATTTGCCAAGAACACAATTATTCTCAATTCATTGAAATACCCTCCTTGTGAAAACTTCATTCGTAGACCTTTCCTTTGTACATTCTCCACATGACGTCGTTGTCATATCACTTTGTCATATACTTGCCTGGAAAAACACTCATCTTCGAGGAATTTTCTATTGTTAATTTTCAGTTCTAGTGGGCTCTCGAAAATTACGCTGGCTGCAGAATGAGGTCACGAAAATGATCCAAGAATTTTCTTACTACGTAATTCCATCCATGCTCACGCTGGATGAATTTGCCTGGAACCCCGAAATAATTGGATTTACAAACTTGAAATAATAGCGGCTAAACTTCAAACGGAGGTTGTTCGACGATAAGGGTTGAGTGGTGGAGAAATGTTTATGAGGATTATAGCGGGAAACATAATATAGGTCAAGAATATTGATGTCAAAATATGAGAAAACTTGAACGCTAAAAACTTCATATACCTAACTGAATATCCTAATTGAATAGCAGTAGTTCAGTGACAGTTTACTGGGAACTCAGATCCGCACAGCATTACGAAAAACTATAGATTGTTCAAGTTATAGAGAACGAAATCTAGGCTCATAGGCCGTGGTCGAATGAAATCTAAAGTACCAAATGTTTTGTCTGCTACTACGGCAGACATCATCAGTGGTATGTGCGTTGACTGCGAGGCCGAAGATTATATCTCGAAATTGAAGCAACAGCTGACGACTATGTCATCAATCCACCGTCAATGGAGGCGTACCAACCATACCGGTATGGTTGGTACGCCTCTTTGAAGATGATCACTTGGTGATCGAAACACGTGTCGAGGTATTAAAAATAACGATTTGGTGTTGGGAAAAAACTCCAGTAATAATCAGAACAACCTTGTAACAGTGCGTACCAATCGGAACACTCCAGCAAGAGTGCAGGCCAATTAGGAGAGAGAATTTGCATGTGCCCCCGCCCATGTCTTGCACCATTGGCCCCTCCACCATCCACACGATCATCCCTACCATCCTCTGAAATTATAAATGCGAGTGAACACATAGCTCATTCAGATGGAACCTTCGTCTTCCCTTCAATACACGTACCACTGATGATGTTCGCCGCAGTAGTTTTTGACAGCGATTACCTGGCATACTATGAATTTGTGGTCACTTTGGAAACATATCGACACGAAACAATAGCAGTAGGTTACCACCCAATAATTGTTAGTGACTCGGTTGGCGTTTGGTTACCTACTTTTCTGGAAATGTTTCTGAATGTCACCACTTTTTCAGGAATAGGTCAGAGGTGGTTACTTTATCAGCAACGCATCGTTGGCATACAAAAGTTGTAAGGTGGAGCTACTGTCTTTTTGACAGGATCATCAGCTTTTTTGTTGTGCAACACCGTGGTACCGTAGTCTATGATACATTGAATTTGAGTTTTAGTACATTTGCGAGCACAAAACTGTAGATAATGCCTTTCTAGTCATAATATATAGGTTTAAAGTAATGTGGTGATGTACCACCTTATGAAGAAGCGTTTACCTAAAGGCCTCTACCTACTTTCTGTCCAGACTTCTCGACCACCGATGGCTTACTTTCAAGTATTTTTTTCTTGACCGATGTTGAATGTCGACAGAAACGTAGATGGTCGCGGAGCAGTGGTTGAAAGATAGAAAAAAAAAACAATTCGAGTGAATATACTGGAAGTACTGGACAAAACATATTTGTTGAAGTTTTTTGCGAATCGACAAGTGTTTTATCGCTTCACTAAATATGGAAGAATGTATATATTCAATAGAAGAACACTTCTTTTGTGATCTACGCATCTTAATAAAGAGTTTATTTTGAATTCAATTGCGTTCTTTCTTCCTTTGGTAGTTTTTCGCTATGGAGAAACGAAAGCCACAACACCTCTGTTTGGCAAACTGTATTATCAAATATCCAGCTTTCTTGAATTGCGATGTTGTTCTCTTGTTCAGTTCTATTTGGTAAAAACAACTTTTCCACCACAGCTAAAAAATTGATTTTTTATGTTATTTGATAACTACACTTCGTCAATAAGATAGCCTCTCAGGCAATAAAGTATATTCCAACTACAATTAGCTTAGCCAAGCCACTCCTTAGCTACTCCTCAGCCTCAACCATTGACTTTAGATCGATGATGGCCACTATCTTGCACTGACGAGTGGCTGAGGAGCTCGAAACCGGTCTGCAAGTGTGCCCGTTCCAAAATTGTGGGTCCACTCTTTCAGTTGTATTGCCAATTGCATATGCAGAAAATTTTCTGTGAAGATTCCTGCACTGACGCTTGTCGGATATAATCCAACGCCGTCAGTCCATTCAACCTACTGTGTAGGTATATCCAAAACTGGCTTGAACATTTGAAGTTCATATTCCATAACCCATAAGCTCTGAAAATTCAGTATGTTAGAATTCATAAAAGTCATAAGTGACTTTTCTGATTATTCTAAAAATATCTCAATAAACCTAATCAGTAGATGTCGTTCATGTCGTGATTTTCACAACAAATATATTTCTAAACCTGACTTAATAGCTGTCAAACTTTGAGTGGCATGCAATTTCCCTTCACCGCAACAAACTAATGTATCAATTATCCGGAACGCTACTAATTTTATCCGTCGATATGACGTATACAAAAAACTGATACCACTATAAAATGATCAATACATTCCGGAAAAGTGATAATAAAAGTATGTGGAAATTGGAACAGTGAACATGACAATAGTGCAAACCGGTGAACTTAAAGACATTAATACTTCGTCCAGTGTACCCGTGAACTAACCAAAGTGGCAGCTTCGGAGAGTCCCAGTTCTTCTTCAGGATCCTCTCCCGTTTCCCCCCTTCCTGTAGCCAGTCACCGAGGGTCGTTGTCTAGATCGTCCCTTGGGAACTGTTCCAGCCCGTCCCTACTAATGGCATCTCCTCCTAACAAACTGGAGCACCAACCTTCCCTTCCCAGGACCCTTTCTACGTCTGTGCTCAGGATAAAGTCGTCCCGACTCACGTTCTGGCATAAGTTGTGGGATGACAGGAGTAAGCGCGACTAGTAAGTTTTTGTTATTTATTATAACCTTTCAGACTTCAGTCCAATTATTTGTGTTGACCATTATCCCGTATAATTTTGCCAAACAACGATGATCCTAAAATATTGTTTTCAACTTATAATAATGAAATATCCCCTTCTCTATTTACAGTTCAAAATTTTGCCTCATCAATAAATAACCTTCGAAAATGGCTAATGGCTTGAAAATAGCTTTCTAACGGTGATGATAAATCTTTGATACCGAAACCTCCGCCAAATTATTGATTTTGTAATTTACATTTCTATTACTACATTCAAAAAATTGTCAAATTAATCAAGCCATTTCAGAATAACAGTTTGGATTTCTTCAATTCAATACATATTCAAAATATTTCTACTGTTTGTGTGTGCCGAATTTTCATAACGACACATCTCTTATCGATTCTAACTATGCTAGGGTGAAATTTATGACCCTTCTCTTCGCCTCCTCCGCCAAATAGTTGAATTTACTTTTGAAAACAACGAGAATGATTTTTATCTTCTTCCTCGCAATTCACTTTCAGCATGAGTTGTTTTTTTAAACACAAGCACTACAAGAAAATCCTTAAGGCGCTCGAAGAGCGGTGGCGGTGTTGGAGATTAAATTCATTAGAAATAACGTTCTCAGGAAGTTTATTTCACATAAAGCAGTTCTCCAAATGGAGGTTCTGGAACAGTGAATTTCTAGGCGTACTGAATTACACTTCAGAACGATGAGCAGCAACAGTTCGCCGCGTATTTTTGATATGTACCGCTTTTGGTGGAATAAAATGTGCCAAGTCACTTTAATACCTCCCGTGAAAGTATCTATAGAGGAGAGACAAATCTCCATTTTTTTGCGATATTCAAGACTATGAAGGTTGCAAGTAATATTCGTGTCTCCGAACAGGCGGATGGCTCTTTTCTGGATGGAATCCAGCAGGTTCAGGATATGCTTAGAGGCAGAGTTCCATACATGAGAACAATACTCCAAAGTAGGTCTGATCTGAGCTCTATGAAGCATCAAAAGTTTCTGAGGTGTGCCCAGTTTTCTGGTTCGGAACAGAGTTCTAAGCTTTTGAGAAGCAGCCTCTGCAATTCCAGCGACATGAATATGTCAAGACATATTGGTGTCCATTTCAACCCCCAAAAAAACTTATCTAAGCAGAAAGCGAAATTGTGTGTCCTGACATCATTATATTCGAATGTAGACTTTCACGGCTGGCGTCAATGTTTTAGTGAGTTTCCGGGTTTTGCAGTGTTCTTCTTTGGTTACAATCTCCAAACGTTTCAACTGCAACTGCGACAGTCATCTTCAGTAACTCACTAAATTATTATTATATCCGGTTCGGAGACATTTATCTTTTTGGAGAAAACCAATTTTCGTGACACTGAATTGAACCTGGTTATATTGATCCCAATTCCTAATCACCTCCAGATCGTCATTGAAATATGCAAACTCCTGCTGCCGGTAAAGATGTGCATTTGTAGCCGATGTCCTGGAATCTGAATGAAATGAGGAGACATGTGTGCAAAATATTGGATTCTTGATTTTTTCCAATAGGTCGTTGATTCACAATAAAAATAGGGTTGGAGATAATATGGATCCCTGGGGAACACCAGCGTATGATAAAATTATCCGAGAGGTATCCATCCACGGCCACTTGTAAGTATGTATGTGAATAGTAGGTAGTAGGTAGTAGGTAGTGAGGGTATATCCACAGCACTTAGGCCACATGTGACCCATTTTACATCCTCACGAGGAGTTGTCTTCGTAGGTCATCATCCATTCTGAATTTTCCAGGAAGGTGGACAGGTCACTAGGAAACATCTCCTTCATATTGGCAGGTGTAGGACATGAGGTATCTCACGGCGGCCTCCGCGAAGGTTTTGAAAGGTGCAGCGACATAACTGTCATTGCGCGGCTTCTTCAACCTTTCTGGAGTTTCCCTAATGGAGTTGTCCAAGTGAGGGCGCTTTCCTTCAGGGACTGCCGGTTTCTTACCTTTATTCAAGGCGGAGATCTTGGTGCCCGCCGCTGAAGTGCCCTTGCTGTTGAAGGTGGAGTGGGGGAGGAGTGCGCCGCCTTTGTATTACATCACGAGGTGATCTGCTATATTCAGCCTCATTCCGAGCGGTAAATTGGGGTGGACATTTCTGTTCATCCCCAGCCACCGCCATAGATTGAGGTGAGCACTTCTGTCCAGCTTCGGGATTGGTTTTTGTTGTGACTGTTTGTTTGTTTCATATATGTGTGTTCCTACGAGTAGCAAGGGAAGAGTTGGTCACCTCTGGCAGAGACCCGCATTACCAGGGGAAGGCTGATTACAATGAGGTTTCGCCCGGTTCCCCAAGGGGATTGTTCGTAACCGCGATGCACCCTGCAGCCATTCAGCTGTCGGCACGATTCCTTACACCTTAGCTTGGGTAGGCCACTTTCAGGAACCTTTTTTTCAGGAAGCTAGAGGTCCATAAACAAAAATGATTTGACAAGTCATAGCATCGAAGTTTAGCCAACAAACCCTCATGCCGTACACGGTCAGAGAGCTTAGGAATACAATGCACAGCAGCTCTTGACTCTCTATGTTTCCTGATTGCGTTATTCCAAATATGTGTGACATACGATAGAAGGTCGCCTGCTGATCTTTGCTTCCGAAATCCATTGATGATTGCTCAAGATATTGAAGCCTTCCTAGGATATGGTGGTTTACGGCTTTCTCAATGAGTTTTTATATCACTGATAGCGAAGCGGACTGGTCTATAGTTATTTGGAAACATTTTTTGTTGCTCTACTTGGGAATATGTTTAACGCGAGCAATCTTCCAACAAGAAGGAAAAACCCCTTACTTATAAAGCAGGTTGAGAAGTCTGCAAAATACTGTTGCGAGTTCATTGGCACATTTTTTAGGTACGATGACGGACACTTCAGAAGGACCAGACGTCTTGTTTATATTACAAATCCTGATATTCGAAATTCTCTAGGCATTCATGTTGATAACTATCAGGTTAATAACTAAAATAATTTCAGTATTTGAAGTCATAACAAACAAATATTGTGGTTTTGTCACAGAACATAGTTTATGTGAAAAAGAGTGCCATTGAATCGATATAGATTTTCAGTTACTTATTGAGAAATATGAAAACTCTGTCTGAGAACTTCATGAATCCCATGTTTGTGATATTGATTTTCTGTAGATTTTTTGTATTGATTTTTTATATTAATTGTCATCGTGCAGTTTTTTAATTTATCAATGAATAAAACACAAAGCTTTCTATCCATTCCTACATTTTTGTCTTCATTTATTTGTTATCTTTTCTAGAAAGCAAAGTAATACATTGTTTCGAAGGATGTAGCTTCAGAAACAATTACATTTGATCTTCCTGAAATCACGTCAAACAGATTGTTCGATTTGTAATATAAAATTTTAATTTAGCACTCTGCAAATACATTACTGAGCAGAATCATAAAATCGGTTCTTCTTTATTTCACGAACAAAATTGTCCACAACGTTTTTATCAGTCGTATAGACATGAAAGCAAACAATTCGAAAGAAAAAATATTTCGAATTTGAAAGGCTCCTATTTGGGACAATCAAAAAATGATTATGGGGATCCTCATTTCTAGTTCCTGAAAAAATGTCACGAAAACGGTCTGAAGTCGAGCTCAACCGGCATGGGTTAATGGGGTCTCTCACCTAGTTCGACTTATCACCTAGGTCACACCTGTTTTAAAAAAAAAATCTGTTTAAAATCTATTTTTCCAATAACCAGCTGTCGCACCCCTACGAACGACAACCCTCAGAAGTCGAAACTTGTGCGAGCAAAGGATTAACAAGGTCTCACCTTTAAACGTGTGATACCTAACACGGGTTGGACGATAGCAAGTGAAAATTGATCGTTCAGACTGGGGCTTGAACCACCGACCAACACGGCAGTCAATTCGAGTGAATGAAAAAAGCACCCACGTAGAACCGCCTGGCTACCGACCTATTCAATAAGACTAGAGGAAAAATCCGACTATTTGCTAAGGAAACATACATTGAGCAAATAATTTTTTGTTTGCAGTATATGATTCAATTAGGTAAGGATTCCATTTCAATAACATCATTTTCATGACTTATGACTGCCTCTAAATCTTTATCGTAGTTAAAATTTTATTTTTTTATAACCTGGCCCACAAATTTTCCTTGCGCCTTCGCCATGTAATGTCCTGCCCCTCCGCCATAATGTTAACACCATTTCGTGTTCGCCAATTATCTCACAATGTACTCTTTCATGTTCATTTTTATTGTTCCAATATGAAGACACTCAGAAAAAGTCGGAAAAGTTTTTTAACGATATATTTGATATATATCCAAAACTAGCTTCACTTCGTCATTTCAACTTTCAATGGACTTCAAAATATACTAAGGAAAGTATTCAAGCTTCTGACACATGCCACTCTACATTTTGGACACGGAAGTATAATTTTTACATCTCCGTGTTTTCTGGTATCATGTTTTGTTTTCAATTTGTATGTTATGAATGACTAACGATCCGCTCCGTCTCTGTAAGGGTGCAATGCTGATACAAAATATAAATTAACCGACAGGAACTTTAAGGGCATGGAGAAACAGTGATGAAAAGTTTACTTTATTTTATGACCGCGACTTTTTTTCCTGGGGCTGGCGCCCCAGTTGCAATACAGGGTGTTAATTTAGTATGTATCATAAATTTAACAGAAGATTCTTTAGGTAATTTTAAGACGAAATGTTCATACAAGCATGGGTCCGCAAATCCTTCGTTCTCAAGAAACAGGGTGTTGAAATAAAAATAAAAACAAAGTTATTCGTAAATATCTTAAATATCCTTCACCTAATTTTGTTGTAGTTTTGCAATGATAATTATAAAATTGAGAAGCTATTTTAGCCCGAACGTGATTCAATTTATCAAGTCCAGCGGCGTCTCGAGCGGGATTTGAACGAATATTTTTGACTTAAAATGTATGCCACTGACTTTTGTACAAT